CGCCACCTGTAAACCAGTTATCCTCAGGGTCTGCAAGAGGCTGATCTAAAATATCAGCCTGGCTCACATATCTGTGTGCAATAATCTGCTCACAGGAATGATTGGTTATTGTGCCCTTAGGTAGCAGTGTGGCTGGTGATATGGTTTGTTCCCATCCACATCTCATCTTGAATTGTAGCTCCCATAATTTCCATGTGTTGTGGGAGGGACCCTGTTCCCAGAACCAAGCTGGGTCTGGCTGCATTTTCTCAAGGCCCAATAAGGAGAAGCAGACAAACTAGGAAATAATGGAATTTATTGATGTAACTGGATACAGGGAGAAGGCTGGAGATAATTCTAGCAGACCAACTCAAACTGTTAGAATTTTCTTAGTGTTTGTATAGGTTGGGGTTATGTGCCTAAGTGCAGTGCAGCATTTGCCAAGTGTATTTGTAAGTAATTTTGTTTCAACTGAAGGTCAAAGGCAAAAAATGCTTGCTAAGTTTGATTAAAAGGGCCCCAGTACCATCAGGGCCTGTCTAGTGTGGTACCAGAGAGATTATTTCTATCTTATTTTCTTTACAGCTTGGTCCAGAGAGCTGCCTTGAATTCTCTAATGAATCTACTCAAACAGCTGCCACTGTTACCTTGAGCTGTCTCCGATTCCATTGACATGAGGTGGGTCCTGGCACTAGGAATGTAAGACTGTCTCTGTTATTTTGACTTGCTCCAGGTTAGGGAGAATCCAATGCAAGACTCCTACTGACCATATGCCATATGTTCCATTTCTAGCTTTCATGTCTGGGCACCGATTTCCCTAGGTTTAACTATTTGCTCAATGTTAAGGCAGTGCTGTGGAAATCTGACTGTGTAACTGGAGTGCTATGCTGGCCTGTCTGTGTGATTGTCAGGGAGAATTGGCCTGCCACAACCTGGTGGGAGATAATTGAATCATGGGGGTGGGTCTTTCCTATGCTGTTCTTATGATAATGAGTAGGAGAGTTCCCCTGCACTTGCTCTCTTGGCTGCTGCCATGTAAAACATAACGTTGCTTCTCCTTTGCCTTCTACCAGCCATGATTGGGAGGCTTCCCCAGTCATGGGGAATTGTGAGTCAGTTAAACTCTTTCCTTTATAAATTACCCAGTCTCGGGTGTGTCTTTATTAGCAGCATGAGAACAGACTAATAGAGCTGGGTTTAAGGTGTTACAGGTCTTAAGAGTGTCTTGATAATCCAGGAGTACTGCCTCATATTTAATCTTTCTCCTGTCATCCAGATATGTACTTTTATTTCTAGGACTGACTTTACATGGTGGGGAGTTAATACCTCCACCTAGTGACGGACCTAGAGTAATTTTAATAGCTTCAACCAAAAGAGCAGTGGCTGCTACTGCTTGCAGTTTGCTGGGCTACCTGGTGGCTACCCTGTCTTATTCCTTTGAAAACTATCCAACAACTGGATACAGTGACCCACGCCTGTGATTCCAGCACTTTGGGAGGCCAAGGTGGGTGGATTTCTTGAGGTCAGGAATTGAAGACCACCCTGGTCAACATGGTGAAACCATGTCTCTATTGAAATACAAAAATTAGCTGGGGCATGGTGGCACATGCCTATAATCCCAGTAACCTGGGAGGCTGAAGCAGAAGAATTACTTGAATCCAGGAGCTGGAGGTTGCAGTGAACTGAGATTGTGCCAGTGCACTCCAGCCTGAGAGACAGAACGAGACTCCATCTGAAAACAAAGAAAAGTGTGCAATGGGCCTAAGTTCAGTTCTCAATTTCGGAGTCGGCTCTCCCACTTCTATGCCTTTCTTTTCTGCTACATACAGGAAGGGCTTGGTGAGGTTTGGAATGCTTAGTGCAGGATCCTAGCTGAGAGCCCATTTTAACTTGGTGAAAGCCTCCCTCATTTGTAGGGTTCATTCCATTGACTCATCTTAAGGTCCCTTGTCTCATAAAGGGGCTTTGCTATGTGCCTGAAATTTGGGATTTATATTCTACAGAATCCAGCCATTTACAGAAAAGAGCAAAGCTGCTGCTTGGTGTGCAAGATAATTTGGGTGCCCATGACATCCAGAGTTACCTGGGGGTTCCTAAGTGGTGGTGATGATGTCCCCTGGCCCTGTCAATCTTCATCTGATCTCTCCTTACGCGCTGCTAGAGTTTTGACTGATGGAGCCCCTCAGTGGGACCAGGGACACTCAATTCTCCAGTGCCTGGGATCGTGACTGGTGCCTTCACATTGGTGGCACGGGCCCAGTGGAGACTTAGTGCAGTCCTCTGCCCAGTGCCCACTTTCCTTGCACTTGTAACGAGCTTTTGCCGGCATTGTCCTTGTGACTCTGGGTTTCCCTTGGATGCCTTTTGGACATTTAGAGCATCACCAATGACAGTTGCCAAACTTTTGGCTGTTTTCTTTACTGTATTCTCTTTCTACTTCCTCCAGATCACAATTGTTATATACCATGGAGGTGGTATCAAGAAGCTGATTTTGATTAGTTTGTGGTCCCATTTGTAGCTTCTGGATTTTATGCCAAATGTTCAGGGCAACTTGGCTAATGAAATGCTGTACTATTAATACTTTGCCTTTGGGAGAGAAGGGTCCACATTGTTGTATTTTTAAAAGCCTCTTCCAACCTACTATAAAACATACTTTCCTTACCCTGTGTAATTTTTCTTAATTTATTGCCTTAGTCATTCCCTTTCTCATTCCTCCCAGGTGAGCTTCAAGGAATTTGGCTCAGTTGTTCATTCCCACAGGGTTGTTATAGTTCCAATTAGGATCAGTGATGGGGACTATATCTGGGCCTAGGTAATTGCCTTCCGGGTTTTGGGCAAACAATTTGTCTGCTTCCATTAGGCAGCCTCAAAAATGTATTCTTTCTCCAGAGGACTGCCACAAGTTGCCAGAATAAATTGAACTTTCTGAGAGATATAAGGCTAAGGTTAAAGTTTAGAATCCGTCTGCAAATTTCCTGGGGTTCTGAGAATAAATTCCTAACTTATCCTTATGTTGTTGTGTATCAGTTCTGGAGAAGGGGGCCTCCATTTAGATTAGCCCCTCAGCTCCTGCTACTTCCCTTAGGGGAAATAGGGCTGGACGGGGAATTGAATAAGGTGTTCCTCTGGAAGTGTATTGGGAATTTAGTGGAGCTCCCGCCTCCTGTTCCTGGGTTTGATCCTCAGGAGCACTTGGCAAGGGGTTGTATGGAGGTGGTTGCAGTTCCCCCTCAGAAATGAGGGGCCCTTGCAGAAAGGGGTCATCTATAACATCTGGTTCTACTTTAGGAATTTTCCTTTTTGAGGGCAAGTTTTGATAGCCTTACAAATTGAATGGTTTTGATGCAGAGCCATAAAGGCTTAAACATGGTATTTCTGACCATTTACCCTGCCTTTTGCAAAATAAGACTAATTGCAGGATAGTATCATGACCGAGACTCAGATTGACTGGCCATTGCTCCTGGCTATCTAGAGGATACTGGGGCCAAACGGTATTACATTAAAAAAAAAAAAAGCAAACAAACAAGTGTTTCCTTCTTAGATTGTCAGAGTCAAATTGGTTCTAATTATTGAGGATGTAGCTGAATAGGGAGTCAGGTTGTATGGATGGAGTATTTCCTATTGTTTTCTCTAAGAGAGAAAATATCCTAAGAAGCGTTTAATGCTGGACCTCAGAACCTCCACCTAGGGACTTCCCCTTCACAGAGTTGTAGCCTAGAATTGAGTCCCCCTTTGGGGTACAGTCTTAAGAGTGTCAAGCATCTCCGACCTTAAGTGGGCACCAGTGCCACTTTTAATGGTTTACCTCCATAGACAATGGCCTGGTATGATTCCCTTCATTCTTAGATGCAGTTCTTGGCTTTTGGCATCCCTATAGCTGGCCACAATAGTTTCTTTCCAAGTAGTTTCCTTAACCATTGTAGTAACTATAGTTTGAAGGTCAAGGGATGGCAGACTGCCTAATTTAAACTTGTTAGAGACTGGCCTCTCAGTAAGGGAGCATAGTGCTCTCTGACTGTACCAGATAAACCAGGCACAGATTTCCCCATGGATCTGCTGTGCAATTTATGCAATGATCCAAGAGTCTCCACCAGGAGTCTTCCCTTAGCACCAGATCTACTGAACTAAAATGATATAGATCTAGTCCCTTACAAAAGAAACAGGGGATTTTCCCTGTCCAAGTGGTTGGTCCTAACTTTTGGGCTAATGTTAGCCCTCGTGGCCTCCATAGTCAATTGCCTATTGCCCTGGCCCTTTGGGTTTGGGGGACATCTCTAATTGGTCTAAACATGTTATCCCAACATAAGCAGCAAATAAATATAATATTATAGTTGCACAAACATGGACCTCATGGCAGCAGGGATTTATCTTGTGCCCCTATTTGTTGTATTCCCTGACGGGCTGACTCCACATGGGAATTTTAGCATAATAAAAGAAGGGTTAAAGCCACCTGAAACATGTATGAATTTGCCCTGGACAAGTTGCCACTGCCAATTGTGTCATACATAGTGCTCGGGAACTATAATCAGGAAAGATAGAAAAGAATCCTTCCCCCTTCCAGGCCAAGCAGCTATCCCCATTCGCTCTTTGGCTTGCCACCAGAGAGTGGCACTGGCCAGTAGCCCTCAGTTACCAAGGAGCTACTGGGAAATAGCTGCTGAAGGACTAAAAAGAAAAGGATTCAGTTTTGCACCTGAAGCAGGTGATGATGGTTAGGTGCTTACACACAGAAACCTTTGAGTTTCACCAGAGATTGGCCCTGGCAAGAGACCTGCAGTTGTCTCCGTGCTTAGAATGCTATCTTCCAAGGGTCCCAAGTTGGAAAATGGAAAGAAAGAGAAGGGGAGAGACAGAGAGAGTCCCATATGAAGTTTAGTTCCAGCCTGTGGCCACAAATGGAATCTCGATAGAGTGAAAGAAAATAAATCCCCAAATTTGGGCTTACCTCATGGCTGGCTCACCAAAATATGTTACTGGGTTAAGGGTTCCAGTAGTGAGAATTGAATGACATGCATGAACAAGTGGTGAAGCAGTGGATTTATTGGAGCACAAGGCGGTGAAGGAGCAAAAGTGAAAGTACATGCCACAGGGTGGGAGTGGGCTCCAGCAAGCGGCTCAAGAGCCCTTGTAGCAAAATCTTCTGGGGCTTAAGCACCCTGCAGAGGTTTCTTGATGATTACACCCTACGTAAATGAAAGACTGGCTCACAGCCAATTAGAGGCCAAGGTGAATTGGCCCATGGACAACCCAAGACTGGTGTAGTTTGGCTCCTTATTCAAAGGAAGGTCCTGGAATGAACCAGTCATTGGGCAGAGTGCAGGTTTGGCCCATGGACAGTCAGAGACTGATGTGGTTTGATGTCTTATGCAAATGAAGGTCCTGGAATGAACCAATCACAGGGCAGCATTGAGACTCTTCAACTTCAGGGAATCTGTCCAAGTCATCCTTAGATCCCTATCTCTTTAGGGAATCTGTCCAAGTCATCCTTAGATCCCTATCTCTGGGCCCTATTCTCCTGCCTCAGTCTTGTGTGGGATTTTGTGCCCTTTGACCATCATCATCATTTCCCCATTCCCCTAACCTCTCCCTCAACTACTTTTAACCACTATTCATTAACCTCTTGTATTATTTAGGTGTAAGGAAGAACAGAAGGATCCAAGTATGAAAAAGCCAACTCTGAGACTCTTGGAGGTGATTATGACTGTGTGAGCATGAACATGGGTGAGACAAATCCTCTGTTGTTGTTGATGGCTACTTGAAGTGCTTCTTCCATTCTTTCCATTGTAGAATACTTAGGGAGGTCCAGAATATTATGACAAGTTATTGATCTTGGGTGATCGCTTTCACTGAAAGTTTCAGGACAGCGAAATACTATTCCTATTTCCTGTATGCCTCTTACATGCAGCCTATCACGTCCTGTAAGAAAAACTAGAAAGGAATAAAATTTGGTTAAGATATTTTATAGAAAGAGTAAAACATAATAAAAAGGAGGAAGTTAATCACTTCATTCAATAAATATTTGTTGAATTTCCTTAGGCAGAGAGAACTTTCCTAGGCCATGTTGAGTGTAGAAAAATCATGACATTTGTTCTTTGTCCTCAATGAGTTAATGGTGTAGTTGGGGGAAAATTGTATGCATGAACAGACAGTAGCAAGAAGAAAGTTTATTTAGTTCATCTAGGAAGAATGAGATTAGGAGTCTCAAGGATTCAGCAGGGAGAGAGATACCAAGCTGGGTGGTCAGGGAGACTTCACATAGGCCACACCTGGCTAGTTCTCAAGAGAGGAGTTGGGTGAGCTTTCAAGGCAGGGGACAAAGCCCAGGAGAAATCCAGAGGTGGGAAGAAGTAAACTCACAGGATGTATAGACAGCTGAACCATTGGGCTGAACCAAAAGTTTCCCATTAAGAGAGAAGATTAAAAAGGTAGCTTGGGCTAATAGAGAAATAGGTTGGATCCATGGACAAGTTGGAATTGTCCTCCAGCATCCTTAGTAGCAAAAAAGAAATAGCAAGAAGAAAAATGTGTAATTCAGGAAGAACTGACAAATGGGATAAGATGGTGAGAGAAGTCATTAAGTCTGCCCTAGAAAAACTTTCGTGTTCCCACCAAGAGAACTTCTTATACCATGAGGCCACAGAGCTTAGTGGTCAAGAGCCTGGGCTTTGGAGTCAGCCTGATGGATTATATTCTAGTTCTCATACTTACCAGCTATCTGAACATGGGAAAGCTACTAAATGCTCCAAGCCTCTTTTTCCTCATTCTGAAATGGGAAAAAAAGAATAGTACCCACCTCATAGGGTTGCTATTAGGAAAAACGTAGGTAATAGATACAAAGCAGTCAGCATAGTGCCTGACGCAGAATAAGCACACAGGAAATACTGCTGCTGCTTCTGCTGTTATTATCAGTTGTCATTGCTGCTATTATTATTTCTAAATGATATATTATTATAGAAAAAATAGTTTGCATCATTTTAACATCATGGGACTTAGATAATTAGAAGAAGATAGGAAGATGAGATAAAAGGCTTAGAAGCCAGCTGAAGTGAGGAGAGAAGGTGCAGAAAAAGAGTCAGTGTAGAAAAAGTAGTGAAATAGTAAATCTCTATTAAAAAAGAAAAAGGAAACAGGCTTGAATAAAGGAAAGAATGGTGGGGGAGCGTGGGTTCTCATCCTTGCTCTGCCACTAACACATGTGACCTACAAGCAAGAATGGTGATACAGAGATAGGAAGAAATTATTTTAGGCAGATAGTGAGGGCAAAAGAGTCTTTGGAAGAACTCCCCTTCTAACAAAAAGTAATCCAGGAAATCACTTCTTTTCTAACAAAGAGCACCCTGGAATACTGGGCTGCAAACATGGATAAGAAAGCTGGGGCTGGGTGTGGTGGCACATGCCTGTAATCCCAATACTTTGGGAGGCCAAGGTGGGTGGATCACTTGAGGTCAGAAGGTTGAGACCAGCCTGGCCAACATGGTGAAACCCCATGTCTACTAAAAATACAAAAAAAAATTAGCTAGGCATGACAACACATGCCTGTAATCCCAGCTACTTGGGAGGCTGAGGCAGGAGAATCGCTGAACCTGGGAGGTGGAGGTTGCAATGAGCCAAAGTCGTACCACTGCACTCCAGCCTAGGCAACAGAGTGAGACTCCATCTCAAAAAAAAAAAAAAAACAAAAAAAAAAACAAAAACAAAAACTGAAAGCTTGCATGGGAGGATACCAGCAGCTCCACCAATAATGGAAAGGCTACCTAGGGCCAGGCATGTCCACCATGAGGGTTCCACCTCCCTGCTTTTTTAGCACATGCACAGTAAGAAAGAAATAAGCATCATGGAGTAGCTACCCACCTGCATGATAAAAGATTGGGGTAGGGGCTGCCAGAGATTTGTGCCCTATGCAGATGGTACACTTGGTCCTAACTGGTTTTTTATGCCATATGTAGATCAGACACTGCCTCCTCACTAGCTCACCTATAAAACCCCTGCATTTCACCACGGATCAGCAACTCATTTTTCTGGGACCCCTCTCTGTAGCAGAGAGCTATTCTCTTTTTTTTTGCCTATTAAGTTTCCCTCACCCTTTGTGTATGTCCATGTCCTTAATCTCTATGGCTGTGAGACAAAGAACATTGGGTGTCACCCCAGACAATGAGGCCACTTCAGTGGCTTCATCCTAAACAAGACTGTAGCTTTTAAAATATATGTAATTATGTGTCCATCTATTGCCACAGTACTTACTGAGGAATTTTTTCTTTTCATCCAAAGTTAGTTTGTGAAAAGCCTTCCAAAACAACCGTATAGTAGGGTGTGATTTTTGGTATCCATATTCATACTTTGAATTCTTAAGAGAAAAAGAAAAATGACTTGAGAGGGATGGAATATATAGAAGTTATTTTGAAAAAATTGGGGTACTTTAGGTATCACCTACCTGTTCAAATTGTTTCCAGTCATAATCAGTATTTCCAATGATTGCTGTCATTAGTTCTTCAGGGTAGAAATGTCTAAGTATCTCCTTCTCACAGACTCTATAAAATCCTCTCTGAAATTCCTCATAAACTGCCTTTACAGAGACATTGAAAATGTAATCAATATACTTAGAAACGTAGTCTTTCCTTGAGGGAAGCCAAAAAAGAAAAGAAAAGAAAGAAAAAGAGGCCAATGACTAAAATATTCTATACTCTGTTCCTTTTACCATTTCCATTGAAAAGGAAAAGTAAATTGCTTCTACATAGCACAAGGATGTTGTATTGTGACCAAAAACTGGCCAGCTAGAAGAAAGAAATTTAGAAAATATAATCAGAAGGTTTACAACATTTGGCTGACTTTCCTGACTGCAGTCAGGAGGATTTTTTAAAAACATGAATCTGAATATGTCATTCTCTTGCTTAAAGTCTTTCAAAGGCTTCCCATTGGCCTTGGGGTAAATTCCAAACCATCTTAGCAGGGATCAACAGGCCTTCCCAACCCAACCTCCTCCCCTAGTGATCTGACTTTGCCAGTTTCAGCAAGCAGCCTCTTCCCACTTCCATTTTCTTTCTTTTTTTATTTTTATTTTTTAAGAGTTAGGGTCTCCCTATATTGCCCAAGCTGGACTTGGACTCCTGGCCTCAAACGATCATCCTGTCACAGCCTTCTGAGTAGGTGAGACTACAGGTAGGCACCATGGTGTCCGGCTCCCACTCCCATTTTCATCTCTGGTCATAATAACCTTTGGTTCACAGGTCTTGTTGTCTCTCTTTTGTAGTTAGGCCACAAAATGCAGCATTTCTTCTTTACCTGGTAACCTCTACCATCCATTCAATTTCAATATAAATAATATTTCTCAGGGTTGATCCTTCTGATTTTCTGCTTGTTCCCTCTCACAACATATATCACTTTGTGAAAATTGTTTCTCCAAGGTCTGTCTTACATTACAGGATGCCGTTTCCACTAAATGATTAATTTCCTAATGGCAGGGTTGCTACTGGAGGCATTTCCATCAGAGACATGATTGTCTCCCATACTTTGGGCAGCCTTTGTGGACTAGCCTATCTAAATCAACTCTTGTCTGCCTTCCCCTGTAATCAGTGGTGTGCTGGTAAATGTCTAACAACCAGTTCTCTGAAAAGAAGCGAGAGGGAGAGGACACACATTTGCAGCATTGGTCAATTTCTGTGGTGTAAATATTCCCACCATGGCTGATTTTCAGCTACTAATACTTTGATAATAAACTCTTAACATTTTTGGAAATTTAACAATCAGCTCTCACAAGCTGGTACTAGTGAGCTCCAGCATATCACCACCTGGAACTCCCTGGTTTCTTAATTGGTTTTAATTTTCTTCAGAGTGCTCATCCTTATCTAACATTATATAATACGTAATAATTCATTTGTGGCCAGGTGCGGTGGCTCACACTTGTAATCCTAGTACTCTGGCAGGCTGAGGTGTGAGGACTGCTTGAGCTCAGGAATTCAAGACCAGCCTGGGCAGCATGGCAAGATTCCATCTCTATTAAAAATAAGAATTATTCATTTGTGTATTGTCTTTCTGCCCCACTGGAATTTAAGCTCTAAAAAGTTTGTCTGTCTTTTTGACCACTGTATCTCAAGCACCTATAATAAAGTCTGGTACAGAATAAGGACTCAAAAATATTTGTTAAATGAATAAATAGTAAAAAGAGCCACAAAGGAAAAATATTGAACCTGAATCCTTTCTCCTTTTATTTTAAAAGCTTCTATTTTTCTAAAAGATTAGGAGCTAAAATAATCATCTCAGAAGTGAAAATACTTTTTTTTTTTTTTTTTTTTTTTTTGAGACAGAGTCTCGTTCTGTTGCCCAGGCTGGAGTGTAGTTGTACAATCCCAGCTCACTGCAACCCCTGCCTCCTGGGTTCATGCAATCCTCAGCCTCCTGAGTAGCTTGGACTACAGGCATGTTCTACCACATCTGGCTAATTTTTGTAGTAGAGACAGGCCATGTTGGCCAGGCTGGTCTTGAACTCCTGGCCTCAAGTGATCCACCCGCCTTGGCCTCCCAAAGTGCTGGTATTATGGGTGTGAACCATTGTGCCCAGTAAAATACAATTTTAAAGTAGAGTGATACAACATTTTATGTACAGTATATTCAAAACAGATATTCTAGCAGTCAAAACTTACTTGTTGGTTTGGTCCACAGGTATAGAGATCCCATTTGGAATTAGGTCAACATCATTTTGTTCCCAATGTATCTGTAACCAAAATGTATTTAGGTACCAAACACCAGAGTAAGTCTGAATAATCAGCCACTCATAATATCATTATTGCCAATATATTTTCTGTGGGTTACCCCCCATATAGGCACCGAGGAATGAGAGCTAAGCAGAACCCTTGCACAGTTAGGGCTTGAGGAATATCTCACTTCACAGTGTTACTACTCAGCTATTTCCTTTTATATAATCCTCTACATAATCTTATATTAGTTTATAGAAATAGGGCTTGAAAGCTCCCTTTATATAATCCTCTATATATAATCATATAATAGTTGATAGTATGAGTGCATAAAGAATATTTCCCTACATATATACCTATAATTATATCTTAGTCATAATCAGAGGAATGCCTAGAGTGGACACAGTACAGAGCATGAATTAAGGAACAAGCAGCTTATAATCAGAGGAATGCCTAGAGCAGACACAGTGCACAGCATGATTTAAGGGAAAAAGTTATACCAGGACAAGAATCCATGGCCCAGGCGGCAACGTTCAGTATCGTAAAGATACCCGTTGTATGGCAGGCTTGGGGCGAGAGCCACTCCTGATAAAGGAGTTGTAGGACCTTGCTTCAGTTCTTGTGGAAGGCTGCCCTCAGAACGGCAATTCACCTTGGTGACTGTGAACTTTATCAGCTCTTGCTACTGTGCTGCTTGAAAAGCATCTTCCCATAGAACCCATTGGAAGCTGCCAGAAGGTGGCAGTAACTTTGACAGCCCTGTCACTGCTATGTGACTTAAAGCATCCTCCTATAAATCTTCTTAGAAGTAGTTTTCCCATAGATAGAAGTATTGCACACTGTACCCTCTTCTCTTTGCATGGCCCACCTTCAAGCCTCGGTGACCTAATGGGGGTGGACCCCTTACTGCACACGGCTCTTGCCTTCATGGGAACGGGCCCCTTGCTGTACACTGTCCACCTCCTGGCCTAGGTGACCTAATGGGGGTGGACCCTATGTTTTATTGCACACGATCCTATCACTATTCTTAAAGATGATTTCACTCACTGCCCTGCCCCCTAACCTATACACAATAAATACTCATGCTTCTGGACATTCGGTTCCTCGCCTGACTCCGCCTATAGGTGGTGTGGCCTTACCGAGCCCAGCTGCGTTTTCTTTGTACTTCTGCGTCCTGTCTCTATTTCTCGGATCCTGCGCCTCAGCACAGCATAATGCTCACCCCATGACCGTGTTGGCCCATCAGCCATACATCTGGCTCACAATGTGCCCTATAATTTTCCCCTATAGAATTGAAAATAACTTGGAGCTAAATAATTTTTTTATGTGACTCAACCTTTTCAATACATGTGAAAGTAAAAAATCCTATGCTAGGACATTGCTTTCATGCCTAAATTATTTAGTTGTTACATTATTTACACTGGTTGAATAATCACCATAGCTTCACTTTATTTGAGAGTATAGATACAGAAGGTATTAAATGAGAAGAAAAAAAGGGGAGTCTTGTGGTACAGAAGTAAAATGTCTTTCAAAAAGAGATCCCAGGGTCCAGGCACAGCGATTCATCGCTGTAATCCCAGCACTTTGGGAGGCTGAGACAGGTGGATCACATGAGGCCAGGAGTTAGAGACCAGTCTGGCCAACCTGGCAAAACCCAGTCTCTACGAAGAATACAAAAATTAGCCAGTTACGGTGTTGCATGTCTAGTCTCAACTACTCAGGAAGCTGAGACAGGAAAATCACTTGAACCCAGAAGGTGGAGGTAGCCGTGAGCCAAGATTGCACCATTGCACTCTAGCCTGGGTGACAGAGTGAGACTCTGCCTCAGTAAAAAAAGGGATTCCATATTTAAGATACTATAATAAAAATTATATTTTAGAAACAGATTAAAGCTAAACTATAATATGGCTTTCATTAGTACTCACAGAAAAGTATAGGCAAAGCACATCTCCAATGTCATCAGCATCATCATTTAGAACTTCTTGCAAACTCCTAATGAAAATTTTGGTTTTAAAAACTATATTTATTGATCTTATAAAGTTTCACAAGTAATAAATTTTCAGTGGAAAAAATTGTGAACAATATAGAAATGTATAAAATGTAATACAAATTTCCTGTCCTCCACCTTCTCACTCCCTTTCTCTAGAGTTTACCTCTATTTATAGTTTCATTTGTTGGACCACTGTTATCACATAGACACTGCTACATCTTGGCAGAAATAACAAAAAGGAGCTATTTCCTCTAGACAATGATTCTGAACCAGGGATAACTTTGTCCCCTAGGGGCCATTCAGCAAAGTCTGGAGACTTCTTTGGTTGTCACACTTGGAGGGAAGGTTGCTGCTGGCATCTGGTGGGTATGACCCCAAATGCTGCTAAACATCCCTCAATGCCCAGGACAGTCTCCCACAATGAAGAATTAAATAGGCCAGAAAGTCAGTATTGCCAAGGCTGAGAGACTCTGCTCTAGCACATATCTAGCCAATGTATTCTCCCACTAACAGTACACATGAAGAGAATCCTTTCTCCCAATTTTCTGCCAGCACTAAGCAAAACTTTTTAACAAGTGTCAATCTGTAAGTAGAAAAATGAAATTTCATTTTTATTTATTCCCTCAATTACTAGGAGGGTGAGTATATTTTCATTTTTTGATTAGACTTACACACACACACACACACACACACACACACACCCCTATATAGCCATATATATATATATATATATATATATATATATATATATGATGACACACATGTATATTGGGCTCTCTGAAGCAATTATTTCCACCTGGATAAAGTCAAGAGACCAGCTCAGAACTCTGTTTCTTCTACTAGTTAATAATTAGAGGAACATCCAACTTTTCTCCATTTTGAAGGTTTACTCAATTATAAATCATGCTAAAATTCAAATTCCTCTCAAGAACATATAGTACTGAAATTGAAGACTGTATCTGTCTCTCTGTGTTTAACAATATTTATGCCTAAACAACTGAGACTTACTAGATATAGTCCTGAAGAAAACAGTTATATTTACTTACCTCCCCAATCGAGGACTGAGTTCTTTTAAATCTTCCAGTGATGGTTTTTGGTTCAGAAGTTTTTTATACAGAGCCAGTGGGAAAGGAAGGTTAGCCACATTTAAATTGAATAAGGAGAGTCCACACAGCACCCCAAAGAGGAAATATCTTTTCTTCTCAAGTTTAGGCTAGAAAGAAGTAAAAATAATCCCTAAGGTATTATACACAATTAGTAATACAAAGGAATCATTAGATTAGTGGGAAAAAAATTGGTTCCCTTTTCTAAAACTCAAAACTTGGAAACAAAATGGGCTTCAGGAAAATTAAAATGAAGTTTTCCACAGATTATAATACAACTTAAATTTCTTCCATAATTTTCTGATATAAACTGACAGTTCAGAACATGAAATAAATGAATTATTGTTACTAACAGCATATCTGGAATGTTAAAAAATATGCTGAGACAGCTTTATATAATAAGGTTTACACAATTTAATTTTATAGTCTTTCCCTTCAAATTCATGTAGAATAATGGCACTAAGAAAGGAAGGGTGCACTTTATATGTTTATTGGTCACCAGGCACATTAGATGAGCTTCGCATGAGTGGCAGCCCCTTCAGCAATGCAGCCCCACAAACTGGTGTGCTTAGAGGGGTGAGCATATGGGTCAGGGAAGGTGATGCTGGAGACCAAAAAGGCAGGTGGAAGAAAGAAGAGGAAGAAGAAGGAAAGAGGCCTGCTGATGTTGGCATATCTTGCCTGCACTTTGTAGTCCTGGGTGAGAGAAAACACTGGCTTCATCTCTCCAGGCCATCACTGCAGCGTGGTAGATCAACAGCCTGAAAATTTCAGGATTTCAATTCCAGCGCCAACCTTACTGTTAGTGGGTGCATGACTTTGGACCACTCACCTAATATTCTGTGCTACAGTCTAGTTGCCATATTTATTTATTTGAGTAATTATGAGAATAAATTATAAAATGCATTTACATTTTGAAAATAAGTTATAAGTACAATACAAGTAATTGCCAAAGCCTTCCCCCAAACCTAATCAGTCGTCTTTCCTATAATTTGTAATATGTTCCTTTGTTATAGTTGATTTTCTTCACTGAGACATACAGAAATCAGGGTTTTTTTTTGTTTTTGTTTCTGTTTTTTTGTCTCTGTTGTTTATCCAGCAATACAGCATAATGCTTAAAAGTAAGAGCTCTGGGGTCAGACAATTCTGAACTCATATCCTGGCTTGGTCACTTACTAGTTTTCTGTCCCTGGCTGATTTATTTAAGATCTCTAAGCCTCAGCTTCTTCATTTTACCTCATAAGGTTGGTGTAAGGTTTATTTTTCCCCTCTCCATCCCTAACTTGTGTCTCTTTGGTTCATTTCATCCCTTTCCTTCACCTTCAACCTCAGGCCTTCGCCTCTCCATTATACTTTCAAATGCAATCACTTCAGTCTCCTCTTGATTTCTTTCTCTCCTAACCAAGAATCCCTTGATTTTGTACAGTACCCTAAATATTTCATGGTACTTTCACATAACTTAGTTTGTTTTGTTTTCACAACAGCCCTGCAAAGCAGGCAAAGCAGAAATTATGATGCACATTTTCTAGGTGAGGAAACAAATCTCAAAGAGGCTAAATGACATACCCACTATCACTGTAAGATTAGAACTCTAGGCTTCTGATCCCACATCAGTGCTTCCTTCCCCATCCTGTTATGCTTCTCAAATACTATTACATATTAAGTCAGCAATCTGTAATTTAGAACCAATTAGTAAATTTTCTGGTGTGTTGATCTGATTGCTATAACTACATCTATAAAGTTTCTGGATGAAAGGGATTATGTCATGTAATAATTTGAATATCCCACAATATTTAATACAATGTAGGAACCTCAAGAAACATTCAATCAATGCTTCTAGACTGACTGATTTAAAAAAATCCTACCATTAGCATACCTTAGCCATTCCTATATTTTAGACGTTCCATTTGTTCTCAAAAAGATACAAAACACCTTTCAGTATTTTTTCATACATATTCATCTTTCTCCTCCTCCTCCCTGTCCTTTCTGCCATTTGGAATAACAATTTGGAAGTTTATGGGAAAGGGGACCAATAAATATGCCTTGGCCCATTTTTTGTTGCTTATAACAGAATATCTGAAACTGGGTAAGTTATAAAGAAAAAGAATGTATTTGTTAGAGTTCTGGAGGCTGCAAAGTCCAAGACTGAGCAGTTGTATCTGGTGAGGGCCTCCTTGCTAATGGGAACTCTGCAGAGTCCTGAGGCTGCACAGGGCATCACATGGTGAGGGGGATGAGTATGCTAGCTCAGGTCTCTCTTGCCCTTCTTATAAAGCCACCAGTCCCACTCTCTTGATAACCCATTAATACATTAAATCATTAATCCCTGAGTGGATTAATCTATTCATGAGGGCAGAACCCTTATGACCCAAGTACCTCTAAAAGACCCCTTTTCAAGACTGCCACATTGGGGATTAAGTTTTAACATGAATTTCAAGGGGAGGGGGCATTCAAACCATAACACAATAGAAGCTCAACATGTGGATCCTTTCAGAACTATTTGATTTGTCTTACTAATAGAGAAATGAAGACAAATTCTTTGTTACTTTAAGAAAGAAAATGTTTATATGTTAAGGATCTTTATAAAAATTTAATAATTATAGAAATGAATCACCTTTTTTATTTTTCTTTTTTTCCTTTTGAAGCACTTTTTTAAAAAAATAGAGTCTTGCTCTGTCGCCCAGCCTAGATTGCTGTGGTGCAATCTTGGCTCACTGCAACCTCTGCCCATAGGTTCAAGCAGTTCTCCTGCCCCAGCCTCCTAAGTAGTTGGGTTTACAGGCACACACGACCACACCTGGCTAATTTTTATATTTTTAGTAGAGACAGGGTTTTGCCAAATTGGCCAGGCTGGTCTCAAACTCCTGACCTCAAGTGATTGCCCGCCTCAGCCTCCCAAAGTGCTGGGATTACAGGCATGCATCACCACACCCAGCTGAATCACCTTTTAAGAATGAAAAAATTATCTCTAGTATTCTATCAATCATTTCTGTCCTAATGTGAAACACTTTGAATTAATCCTTCTCAAAATTTAGGAAAAACCCTACATATCCATCTGTAGGAGAGCAGGTAAACAAATTACAAGCTAAGATCCCTAATCTGAAAATTCAAAATCTGAAATACTCTAAAATTGGAAACTTTTTGAGTGCCAACATGATGCCACAAGTGGGAAATTCCACTCATAAGTTCTTAATACAAACTTTGTTTAATGTACAAAATTATTTAAAATATTGTATGAAATTACCTTCGGGTATATATGAACTATTAATATAAATGAATTTTGTGTTTGGACTTGGGTCCTATCCCCAAAATATCTCACTGTGTTTATGCAAATGTTCCAAATCTGAAAAACTCTGAGATCTGAAACACTGCTGGTCTCAAGCATTTCACATAAGGAATATTCAACTTGTATATCCATACAATGGAATACTTCTCTACAGTAGAAGAGAATAAACTGTGGATATATGCCACACGATGAATCTCAGCATAACTATGTTTAATGAATGAGAGACACAAAATACTATGTTATGATTCTACTTATATAAAATTCTAGGAAATTTCAAACTACTCTTTAGTGACAGAAAGCAGATTTGTGGTTGCCTGGGCATTGGGGAGAGGAATAGGCAGGAGGGATTAGAAAAGGATATAAAGAAGCTTTTGGGCCAGGTGTGGTGGCTCACACCTGTAATCCCAGCACTTTGGGAGGCTGAGGTTAGCAGATCACTTGAGGTTGGGAGATCGAGACCAGCCCAGCCCTACTAAAAATACAAAAAAATATATATAGCTGGGTGTGGTGGTGTGAGCTTTTAGTCCCAGCTACACGAGAGGATGGGTCAGGAGAATTGCTTGAACCTGGGAAGCAGAGGTTTCAGTAAGGCGAGATTGTGCCATTGCACTCCAGCCTGGGCCTCACAGAGAAACTCCATCTCAAGAAGAGAAAAAAAAGAAATTTTTGGAGATGATAGATGTATTCAGTTTGTGATTGTGGTGATAGTTTTATGGGTGTATATGTATATCAGAGTTTATCAAGTTGGACACTTTATTCTATTTTATTATATTTTGATACAAGATCTTGCTCTGTCACCTAAGCTGGTGTGCAGTGGTGCGATCATGGCTCCCTGAAGCCTTGACCTTCTGGGTCAAGCGATTCTCCTGCCTCAACCTTCCTGAGCAGTTGGAACTACAGGCGTGCACCATCACACCTGGCTAATTAAAACAAATTTTTTTTGTAGAGATGGGGTTTTGCCATGTTGCTTAGCCTGGTCTCAAGCTACTGGACTCAAGTAATCCTCTCACCTCAGCCTCTCAGAATGCTGGAATTATAGGCATGAGCCACCACACGAAGCCAAGCTGGACACCTTAAATATGTGCAGTTTATTATATCTCAAGTATAATTCCTTAAAACTATTAAAATGTGATATGCATGTGAACCACCTGAGGATCTCATAAAATATGTGCTCTGATTCAGTAGGCGTGGAGTAGGGCCTCAGATTCTGCTTTTCTAACAGCTCCCTAAGTGATACCATAGCTGCTGCTCTGTGGACCATACAAGTACCACTCAAAATAGGAGTAGCAAAGTTCTATATGACCTTATTTTATACTACTATGTATGGTTTTAATGTTGTAGTATATGGGGTACCTTTTCTGTTCTGAAAAAATAGAAAAGAAAGAAAAGACTTACCTTGGCAGGAAACCACATGCAGGAACCCTTTTCAGGATACATGAACATTCCATATTCTGGCTTGGTCATCTCTTCAAATATACAGTGGAAGAACTCTGAAGTGACCCCTCCAGCCTCAGGTCGGATTTCTTTAGTAAATTCAACCTAAGGAAAGAGAACACATTCCCAGGTCCTGACATAAAATACAATGTTTTGATCCTTATGGAAGTTTTGAACCTCTAACGACCATTCCTGCAGTCTCTAGAACTACTAGAATCACACCCTTACCTCCTTGCAATCTGTCCTCCCTCAGTGTGCTGCTGAGGAATGGAGGCCATGAACCTATTTATTCTCAGATTGTTGTATGCATCCTTTACACTGCCACATGGGCCAAGTGAAGGGGGACTCAAGACTCAGCATTTACCAGTAACACTGACTAGTATCTCAAACCAAATTTTGATGTGCTTCAAAGCCTTGGGCCCCTAAACTCCCTGATTATTCTATCTTATTGTCTATCTTCACCTTATCATTCAGACTTACAACCTTGGCTCCAGTCAACAAGTATTTGGTTTCTCCTGCCTCTACTCTCATTTGGGCTTCTGCAAAATGCCCTCCCAGTCTGCCTGGGCATGAGACCTTTGCAGGAACCAGCAGAGCGGTTGCCCATAGCCCTCACATGAGAAATCAGTATTACCCAGAGTCTTTTTTTAAAAGCTTTCTCTACCTTTGGACTTTATGGCTATGTACTGTCTTGGTTTTCCCCCAAGTCTCTAACTACTACTTTTCTACATCCTTTTCTGGATAATTTACTTTTATCTTTTAAAGATAAACACCACTAATTTTTATTTCGTGGATTTTTGTTCTTTCTCTACTCTCTTTGCCTTGGAAGTCTTATCTACTGCTGCTTCGATCAACTCATTGGCCATAGACCATCATGTTCAAGAGTCTGCCCTACTTTCCCTTCTGAATATCCCAATAACAAATTAAGCCTACTTCTGATTTTCTTGTTTCTGCTCATTTATACCAGCAAATCTGTCCATACCACGCTCAGGACTTACTCATGATGGGCCCTGACAACCTTCCCCTTGTTCAGAGTCTGTATTTTTATTTGATCAGGCTTGAAGTTTACTTTTTTTTTTTTACTCCTTGGTTATCTCCTATAAGGAGAATACTTTTCTACTGATTTCCTTACAGTTAATATTTAAAGAAAAATAGAGATGAAGGGAGACATACAACTAGAAAGTCTGGCTTATAAAGTAGTTTTTGTTTTCCATTGGAGTCACATGCTGGGGAAATCCCTTTTTTATATGAGTCCCACTTCCCAAGTTCTGGTTTCTTCTCTAACAGCCCAGCTTTTCCCCTCATGGCTGATATCAAGAAAATCCACTCCTTTCTGGACAGACTCCAGCTCTTAACTACAGAATTAGTCATTATCCTATCGCCTCAATAGGGCAAATAATCTGAGATACCACGCAATAAAAACCCTATAACCACTCACAAAGGATGAAAGGAATGATGGTTGGAATTGAAACCCATACAGTAGACGGTCTTAAGTGACAAAACTAGAACGAACATGTAGGAAAAGTATCCCTTCCTCTAGCAGTTTGTTGACTGCATTATTGCCCCGATTCTTCACCCCTCTGTGATCCATGTCTTTTGCATATGACTTTGCAGTTCCTCCCATTGAAGAGGTTGTGTATATTTCCCTAGCCCTTGACTTAGGTTCAGCTTTATGACTGCTTTGACTAAAACAATGTTTGGTCTTGCTGTCTTGCACCTCTGGCACTGCTGTGGGAAGAGCATGCTTGCTAGTCCCTGGAGGAGGATGAAAGACATAGGAAGCAGAGCCAAACTGTTCCAGCTAAGCCTAGATCAGCCAATCCCTAGCCAACTGCCAGAGGTACACAAACTCAGACAAAATTTGCAAACCCACCCAGATGAGTTCAGCCTAGGTCAGCACACTAACTTCATATCTATAAAATAAATTATTGTTATTTTTGAGCCATTAAGTTTTGGGATCTTTTATTATGCAGCATTTTTGTGGTCATCGTAACTAATAGTTAACTCATAGCCCAATGTGCAATTGAGTTAACAGTATCCCATTGCGGTTTTATGAAGGGTAAGAAGGGAATTCTGAAAACCAAAAGACTGATAACCATAGCTGCAAATGCAGGCTCTTTTAAGAGAGCCTTTATTACATCATATGAATGCATCCTTCCCACAGAAGTAAAAATATTCAGTGAGACTTTTTACTGTACCACTAATAATTTGCAGAAATCGGTGGCTTCCGCTTGACTTAATTGACGCAGAGCATCTTCAACCAGGTGACTTCGTCTGACTCTAAGTAGAAATCTAGGTGATGGGGGAAATTCTTCCCTTTTTTTCAGAATTGTTTCATGCATATGCATGAATTCTTTCTCTTCTGACATCTGGAAAAATAAAAATTTTAGTTGGCTTCTTTTGACTTCATAAGAATCCCAGGGATTCTTTTAATAGTTTAATACTTTTAAATGTTCAATACTTCCAATAAACATTTTGTATAGTATATACTTAATCCTGTCATTGCTATAAATGCTCACGTTGTAATTATTTAAGAAAAAGGACATCATATCTGTCTTATGGAAAATAAAGTGATTGTAGGGCCACAGAAACTGTGGTTACTTAGGAATTGTGTACAGGAGATTAGTCAGCATGGATGAACAGCTAAGTTATTAAAAGCTATCTCAGATCATTTATTATAGTAAACATCATCCTTAAAGGCCATACTGGTATTCAACATGCTGAGGCATTCATCTACCAACAGTCTTAAGACACAGAATATTAGCATTGTAATCCTCAGGAATATAAAGGCAGTATAAGAGCTTAGGGATAATGGGAGCTGTAGGGAAAAGATAGAAGAGAGACTTCCTCAGAGAAGATCCACTCTTCTTTTTCCAATAACTATGATCCATCCACTGAATCTACACGGGAACTCTAAAAATATGCCACAAGTGGCCTTATTTTGTATCTAATAATGCTCCTGGTCACCCTAAGTAGTACTTCGCTTTAACTTTTCTGATCACCCTAAGTACTTCTCTTTAGCTTTTCTGAATTCTCAACATTCTCACATTGCTTTAATCTCTGATCTTGTTTCTGTTGAACTTCTTTGGATTAGAAAACTAGCGTTGGACTTGCTAGCCTTGCTTGGACCTTCAGCACTCCTCAAGGGCTTCAGTTATATCACAAGGACAATAAATGAGGTTTTAGAACTCAAACCAATGCAGCCCTCATAGGGCCTGTCCTGCAATCGTGACAGCAAGACCAGTGGATGATAGCTATCCTACCCCAGGTTCCTAAGCTGGGAATGTGAGAGTGAATGTGTTTGCCCATATTCATTCTCTACAAGCACCTCAGAGAAGTGTTCAAGTGGCATTGGGGTTGGGAAATCTCTGCCCTGGGTCTCTGCCACCATTATATACTAAGAAATTTATATGTGATTTCTCGATTCTTCTGTTTTTTCTTTAAGACTTTTTTTTTTTTTTTTTTTTAGCACAGATTTGTAGGGAAGGAACAACTTCCATCTCTGTTCCTTTCCGGTGATGGGTCATCACCTCCTGTGGCCCTACACGAGTCTGCAGGTCTGGGACATCCAGCAATACTGACTACTGAGCAACATGTTCCATGGGTCTGAGTGACAGGATGTGGCCAGCAATGCCCTCCACTGACTACAGCTGGGAGAGGTGTCTGTACCTTCTTTTACATAACCAAGAGCTGGATGGGAAACCTGCCTCTTAGCTTAATTTCCAGCTTCTCTCCTGCAGTTCTCTATATACTGGTTTTACTTTTTCAAATTTACACATTTGAGTTGGTGACCCAGTTTGGAGCTTGCAGTTTTGACTATATCCATTATCTTTCCTTTGGAGAGCAGGATTGTAAAGTCAGCTTTCCAGCTTCACTCATGACAACTAAAAGAAAGAGTTTTCTTGTCCTCAGACCAGCTTCACTCATGACAACTAAAAGAAAGAGTTTTCTTGTCCTCAGACTTTCTTTGTCTTTCATAATGTGCAATCTGTCCAAGTCCATTGTCCACTCAACCCTCAACTATTCACTAGCAGAATAGACAAATGAACCACAGAGAAACATGGTAATAGCAGAAAATACCATAAAGGGAAGGTCCTGTTTAAAGGAAACTGATGGGAAAGTTAGGTTTGGAAAGGAAAGACAATCTATTTTCTCCCTTTACCAGGGATGTTAGAAAAATAAAAACATATGGCTCAGAAACAAAAGAAGAGATGGCCTGGTCAAATCTATTTGTAAACATGCTGGTAATAGACACTAATAATAGTAACTAGGTTAGGCATGGTGGCTCATGCCTGTAATCCCAGCACTTTGGGAGGCTGAGGCAGGTGGATCACCTGAGGTCAGGAGTTTGAGACCAGCCTGACCAACATGGTGAAACTCTGTCTCTACTAAAAATATAAAAATCAGTTGGGCGTGGTGGCAGGTGCTCATAATCCCAGCTACTTGGGAGGCTGAAGCATGAGAATCACTTGAACTTGGTAGGTGGAGCTTGCAGTGAGCCAAGATCACGCCATTGTACTACAGCCTGGGTGACACAGTGAGATTCTATTTCAAAATATAATAATAGTAGTAATAACTAGAGGGACAATCCTTACCTATGGAATGCTACTAGCAGGATATAGCTTGTCCGTTTAGGTTGCTTATTATAAATAAACCTGGAATTTATGGATTAATGGGGCATGGCACATTGGAAAATGTCATGTAAGCCACATAAATAGTGGGGTATAAAAAGGGAATGAATACCGAAATGGCTTCTCTTGTGCATGTTCTATCCCAGACTTCTTATATTTCACCCCAATGGCCTGCATCCTTCGAATTAGTTATAAAAGTCAATAATGGGTATAAATTCTGATTCCTATGAGTCTTTAAAATATAAATATCATCATTAAATAGATATAAACTTTTCATGAGGAATGGCCTAGAAAACAAGCCTCAACAATAAAAAAAAATTTGGAAAATTTGTTTTAGCATAATAAGGGGATTGCATTATATATACTTAACTGAGAACTAAGGCTGATGGTGATTAAAAAAAAAGACAATAGCATGTAAATCATATGTGGGACTAATATAACTACCAGAAAAGAAGCAGAAGGGTGAAAATAAATGGAAAACAAAATAAACTAATCGATTGACTCATAGGCATTATTTAACTCATGAGTGACTCATAGGCATTTAAGAATAAAAGATTATCACTTGGAACTTATAAATTAAGCTCCAAGAAGCCTAAGGAGATATTTTTAATCTAAAGATTAGCATTTAAGAACACATTAATAATCAAAATTGGATAGAGGAGGAGAGAAAAGAGAGAAGGAAAGAACAGTTTACTGGATAGTGTCAGCATTGCTCACAGTAGGAAAACCATATATATTACATAAAGAAAGTGAGGACTATGACATTAAATAATAACTATAAATTAAAATCAAACTGAAATATCATGATTAAACTCATCAAAATGGAAAAGATCACAAAGCTTGGTAATACTCTGCATTGCTGAGAACAGCATGTGGAATAGGCATTTACAAACTCTATAGAGGGTAATTTGGCAATATTTGATATTAAAAAGGATAGAAATTAATTAGTCTACCTTCCTATGTGAATGGTCTTTAAGCATTTTAGGGTAACCAAGTGCCCTGACTGATAAGGAAAAGCTCTTTTTTGCCTAATTCCAGGAAACGACTTTGGAAGGAATGATAAGATTAGAAATATTGACATACCACAACCTTAATGAAAATAATATATGAAATTATTAAATAAAAGGTTTATGGGAAACAATGAAAGAATTATGTGGTTGCTACTTGAACCACTCATGAATTTCAGAGTGAACAAGAGTAAAACAACCAGAAATAATGCATTTAAGTATGGACAGCTGAAAAGAAATTGGGACTGGAATTTGCTGTAAAATACTTCAACAAAAACGGTAACAACAACAAAAGAAAAAAAGTGATAAATAAAAGTGTGGCAAAATGTTGACAATTGCTGAATCTTGGTAATGAGATTCATTACACCACTATCTCTATTTTGTATATGTTTAGAATTTTTCATACTAAAAAATAGGGCATACATACCCACATCTTTAGATGTGAATCAGCTTTCAGTAATTTAATTTTGGATAGCAAATTAAAGACAAATGGAAAATCACTGAAAATAACAGGACTGGGGGCTTCTGCAGGTATCTAAAAAATAAACAGAGATAATAGTTTTGATAATTAAAAACAATTTAAAAATCTTAATTCCTTTACCTTGTTGCTTTTTTGGAATCTGGTTTTTGTGATTCTTTGTTTTTCTGAGACAGAGTCTTGCTCTATCGCCCAGGCTGGAGTGCAGGGTCATAAACTTTGCCCACTACAACTTCATTCTCTGGGCTCAAGCAATCCTCCCACCTCAGCCTCCTGAGTAGCTAGGACTACAGATATATGCTATTACATATTTGTATTTTTTCAACAGAGACAGCATTTTACCATGTTGCCCATGCTGGTCTCAAACTCCTGGGCTCAAGTGATCTGCTTACCTTTGCCTTCCAAAGTGCTGGGGTTACAGGTGTGAGCCACAGCACCTGGCCTCAGAAATCTGTTAAGAATCCAAATTACTTAGAAACAAAATTTCAAAAGGTGTACTTAGTTTGTGATTAAAATATGTTTAACTTTTCAATGATCATCAAATTTAGCAAATTTATCATTGCAAAAAAATTTCAAATCTTGATTTATCGAAGGAGTACCTTCACAGCTACTTACAGTAATGTGTCTCCCTTATATGAAAATTTTCAGAAGTAAAAATGTCATTCTTACCATGTGGTTATCCCGAAAGAACTGTCTTCGTCTTTCTGTACAAAAGTTTAATAAGTTGGAGAGTTCATTTATGTTGAAAGTATTTTCTGATAGTCGACAGTTAGTTTTGTTTACCTTAAAGAGAATATAACCTGTAAATTTCATTTTCTGTCAATAAGTGATTTAATCTATGATATATAGATATATATGTATGGCTGTTACATAGATCATCAGAAGAGAGCTCTATGAACTAAAAACATTTGTCAATGATGAAGTAGATTTCTAGAAAATTTCCATTTTCTGAGCTATAATTTCCTTAATTTTCATGAAGAAATGTTATCAAAGATAAGACACTGACAGTGTGGATTAGGAAACTAATCTTTAGGACACAGATTTACTAGAAATAGTTTCTAGATTTTGAGAATAAAAGCACCATAAACGTCCAAGGTACTTTTAACAAATTTAACACTTTGTCCATTAATTAATAAATATTAACTTGGCACATAGTATTTTGTCAAGCATGGGACAAACCATTAGATTAAATCCTGTCTTATACAAATGAATATGACTTTATTCACATAAAACTGTATTTGGAAAAACAGGAGACTGCCCTTGAGTGTAGATTGACAACCTATGGTCTAGTAGGTAAAATAGGATATTTGAAAGATAGGCATTTAGAATACAGTTTCTGATTGGGGAAGAACTTAAAAAGTTCAAGAAGGCTTCTTAGAGGAAGCATCAATGATCTAAATATGCCTCCATCACACAAAATTAATTCAAATAATAGAAAGAGGTAAATAAGAAATTTAAGAACATAAATTAAGGAAATAAAAAACAAATATATGGGAGTGAGATCAACAAATGAAAAGACTGATTCTTTAAAAAAGAAAAAACAATTTCCTGGTAAGAACTTTCAAAAAACAAAAGTACAAATAACCAGTATCAAGAATGAAAAATGGGGTGAAACTACAGTTTACAATTAGATTAAAAAGATAAAAATAGGATATTTGAAAACTTAGATAAAGAGACAAATCCTGGGGAAATACCCACCAACACAAGAAAAAATAGAAAATCTCAATAATCCTGTAGCAGTTAAATAAATTAAACCCATAATTTAAAAAACTTTTGACAAAGAAATTTCCAGACCCAAAACGATTTATAGATTAGTTCTACCTATCATTTAAGGAAAATGACAATATTACACAACCTTTTACATAAAATAGAAAAAGAATATTCCCCAGATCATTTTATGAGATCAGCATTACCTGATCCAGAAATCTGAGAGGGGCATTATGAGAAAGCAAAGTAACAATCCAGTCTCACTCATTAATATAGATGCAAATATGATAAGTAAAATATTAGGAAATGGAATCTTTGAAATCTATAACACATTATGAGCAAGTTGTGTTACTTCAAGTAGATAAGGTTAAAACAGCTGAAAATCCATCTGTGTATTTTGCCATCATATGCGGAAAAAGCATTCAATAAAATTCAATATCCATTTATGATAAAAAACAAAACCCTCAGCAAACTAGAAATAGATTGAAGTTTCCTTAGCCTTTTAAAAACGTATCTACAAAAATCCCACAGCAAAACATAAAACTGAATGTTAAGGTTTTCCCTTTGAGAGAAGAATAAGATTATAAAACATTATACTGGATGTCCTAGCCAATGAAATAAGTAAAGAAAAATAAATAGGAACAAAACTGTTACTATTTCAAGTTATGTGATTCTATACAGAAAAAATCCAAAGGAATCAAGAGATTAGCATTACTAGGTAAATTTAACAAGATTGCTAAAAACAAACATAATGTACAAAAATTACTGCATTTCTCTACATCAATGACAAAGTTAAAAATTTAACTTTTAAGAGAAAAAGTAGATGAATTTATCATCAAAATCAAAAACATTTGTGCTTCAAAAGACACCATGGTGAAAATGAAAAAACAACACATGGGGAGTCCGCTAAGATGGCTGAATAGAAACAGCTCTGGAATGCAGTTCCCAGCGAGAGAGATGCAGAAAGTGAGTGATCTCTGCATTCCCACACGAGGTACCAGTTTCATTTAAAAGGGACTGGTTGGACAGTAGGTACAATCCAAAGAGGGAAAACTGAGCCAGGACAGGGCACTGCCCCACCCAGTAAGTGCATCTGATGGGAAGATCGGGGGCTCTCCCCCTCTGGGATTCTGGTTCAGATACTGTGCTTCTGGTTCAGATACTGTGGTTCAGATACCCAAGCTCTCTGCAACCCACAGAACAGGAGATCTTTACCAGGCTCAAAAGTACCTGTGAATTACCTGAACAGAGCTGAGAAGCAGCTCTGGCTGATGCCATGGGTTTTTGACACAGATCTAAGTGGATGGATTAGCTAACACCAAGAAAGCCTGTGGGACGGAGCTACCCACCCCCAAGAAAGAAGGAGGACTGAAAGCAGGGAATCAGGTGATATGGCAAGATGGGTCCCTTCCCCACAAAGTCCAGTGAATTGAAGCCCTTTTGCTTGAGAGTTTCACAGATTGAGCTTGGTGGGGGAAGGGCAGCCACCATTGCAGAGGCAGGTCTAATCTTCCTGAGTAAACAAAAGACACAGGAAATATTCGCAGCAGCTCTACTGAATCCTTGGCAGCCCAGCAATGCCTCTGCGGTCAAAGGAAAGGCTGCCTTCTCAAGTAGCTCCCTGAGATGAAAGCTAGATAAACCCAAGAATGGAAAGAAACCAGCACAAAAAGGTTGAAACCATCAAAGACCAGAATGTCTCTCCACCAAGGGATAACAACTCCTCACCAGCAAGGATACAAAACAGGATGGATACAAAACAAGTTTGATGAACTGACAGGAGCAGGCTTCCGAAGGTGGGTAAAAACAAACTTATCTGAGCTAAAGGAACATGTTCTAACTCAATGCGAAAAAACTAAAAACCTTGAAAAAAAGATACAAAACAGCAAGGATACAAAACAAGTTTGATGAATTGACAGGAGCAGGCTTCAGAAGGTGGGTAAAAACAAACTTCTCTGAGCTAAAGGAACATGTTCTAACTCAATGTGAAAAAACTAAAAACCTTGAAAAAAGGTTAAACAAAATGCCAGCTAGAATAAACAGCTTAGAGGAGAACATAAACGATTTGATGGAGCTGAAAAACACAGCAAGAGAACTTCACAAAGCATACACAAGTTTCCATAGTTGAACTGATCAAGCAGAAGAAAGGACATCAGAGATTGAAGATCAACTCAATGAAAAAATTACAAGGCAATAAAAGAGGAAAAAAAGTGAGAAGAAATGAACAAATCCTCCAAGAAATGTGGGATTATGTGAAAAGACCTAATCTATGCTTGACTGGTGTACCTGAAGGTGATGAGGAGAATGAATTCAAGCTGGAAAACACTCTTCAGGATATTATCCAGGAGAACTTCCCCAACCTAGCAAGGCAGGCCAATATTCAAATCCAGGAAATACAGAGAATACCACAAAGATACTCAAGAAGAGCAACTCCAAGGCACTAATTGTCAGATTCACCAGGGTTGAAATGAAGGAGGCAGGCCAATATTCAAATCCAGGAAATACAGAGAATACCACAAAGATACTAAAGAAGAGCAACTCCAAGGCACTAATTGTCAGATTCACCAGGGTTGAAATGAAGGAAAAAATGCTGAGGGAAGCCAGAGAGAAAGGTTGGGTCACCCACAAAGGGAAGCCGATCAGACTCACAGCAGATCTCTTGGCAGAAACCCTACAAGCCAAAAGACAGTGGAAGCCAATATTCAACATCCTTAAAGAAAAGAACTTTCAGCCCAGAATTTCATATCCAGGCAAACTAAGCTTCATAAATGAAGGAGAAATAAAATCCTTTACTGACAAGCAATTAATGAGAGATATCATCACCACCAGACCTGTCTTACAAGAGCTTCTGAAGGAAGCACTAAACATGGAAAGGAACAACTAGTACCAGCCACTGCAAAAATGAACTAAATGGTAAAGACCCACAATGCAATGAAGAAACTGCATCAACCGATGGGCAAAACAACCAACCAGTAACAAAATGGCAGGATCAAATTCACACATAATATTAACCTTAAATGTAAATGGCCTAAATGCCCCAATCAAAAGACACAGACTGGCAAACTGGATAAAAAGTCAAGACCTGTCAGTGTGCTGTATTCAGGAGACCCATCTCACATGCAAAGACACACATGGACTCAAAATAAAGGGATGGAAGAAGATATACCAAGCAAATGGAGAGCAAAAAAAAAAAAAAAAACGGGGCTGTTACTAGTCTCTGATAAAATGGACTTTAAACCAACAAAGATCAAGACAGACAAAGAAGGCCATTACATAATGGTAAAAGGATCAATATAACAAGAGGAGCTAACTATCCTAAATATATATACATCCAATACAGGGGCACCCAGATACTTAAAGCAAGTTCTTAATGACCTGCAAAGAGACTTAGACTCCCACACAATAATAGTGAGAGACTTTAACACTCCACTGTCAATATTAGACAGATCAACCAGACAGAAAATTAACAAGGATATCCAAGACTTGAACTCAGATCTGGAACAAGTGGACCTAATAGACATGTACAGAACTCTCCACCCCAAATCCACAGAAGATACATTCTTCTCAGCACCACATTGCACTTACTCTAAAATTGACCACACAATTGGCAATAAATCACTCTTCAGCAAATGCAAAAGAATGGAAATCATAACAGTCTCTCAGACCACATTGCAATCAAATTAGAACCCAGGATTAAGAAACTAACTCAAAACCACACAACTTCATGGAAACTCAACACCTGGCTCCTAAATCTCAACTGGATATGCAATGAAATGAAGGCAAAAATAAAGATGTTCTTCGAAACCAGTGAGAATGAAGACAGAACAACCAGAATCACTGGGACACATTCAAAGCAATGTCTAGATGGAAATTTACTGCAATAAACACCCACATGAGAAGGAAGGAAAAATCTAAAATTGACACCCTAATGTCAAAATTGAAAGAGCTATAGGAGAAAGAACAAAAAAACTCAAAAGCTAATAGAAGACAAGAAATAAGATCAGAGCAGAACTGAAGGAGATAGAGATAGAAAATTCCTTCCAAAAAATCAATAAATCCAGGAGCTGGTTTTTAGA